TTAAACTCAAGAAAAACTCAATCTAAACTATCCTCATATTAAATCATATCCCTTTCCAACTGAGACACACACGGTAGCAGATCAAATAGTAGGGGGAACATTTTAAAATCTCAACCACTTAAACGTGCACACTCATGAAATTGTCAAGAAGTAAGGTTCGACACTTCAAACCTGAATTAGCAATAGCAAAGAAAGGGAAGAGAAAGAAATCGACGGAAGCAGGGGAAAGAATCACGAAACCATGGCTGCATACACATCAATGCATAGATAAAGCAGGAATAAGGAGGGAGGTTCCTGCCACTCACACTCTCTGATGGCAGCACCCAGACTTGAAAAAAAAACAGTGATGTCAACAAAACGTCTACCATAGCAGTGACCATCATCGACATGGGAGGAAGAAGATGAGATTATAGCTGGTGTTGCAAGACAGCACGAGCACTATGGGCACTGGAGATGTGAAGAACGGTGGAGGAGTGTAATGGTGGTGAAGAATCAAAACGTCCATGTCGGTGAAGGGAAGGAAAGAAATGAACTGCCAATGCTCTATTTTTGCATAAGAAATATAAATTCTGAGCTAAAAAGAATAATTGTGAAAATTACAAGAAATGGCACAAGAAAAAATTACAAAAGAAGCACAAAATTTTTTCATAATTAAAAAAAAACTACACTTTTTCTCAAAAAAATTCATACCCTGGACCTTAAAAAAAATATTAAATAAGTTTCTCTAAACTATCACTCTCCACTTACTATAAAATTAATCTAAATAAAATATCTATTGTGAGAAAAATTAATTTGCATTAATTCAAAAAAATTGGGTCATTACAATAGAGAAATTCTTTTCGAACACCACATTTACCACTTCAAAACTCATTTTACAACTACTTTTGCATGATTAATACACATCACACAATTTACATGGATACCAAGTTTCAATGCATGTAATCCAATTTCACAAGTCAAAATTTTACATGATAAATACACAATTCACATCACAATTAACATATAACTACCCAAAGTAGGGTTTCTTCATTTATCTCAAACTTTGAGAGATCAAAGGTTTAAAAGTTTTTCACTAATTATTTATTTTAGAAAGGAATAAAAAATGCCTCACAAAATTTCTCCCTAATATTGTCATTCTAGAAAGTAATAAATATCTCTTGCTATTTTTTTGACTAATTATCTTATATTAGAAAAGAATTGATAACAATCTCTCACTATTTTTTCTCTAATTATTTTATTTTAGAAAGAAATAAATATTTCTCACTAATTTTCTTACTAATTATCTTATTTTAAAGAGTAATTAATAGTCTCTCATTATTTTTATTTCTAATTATTTTTAAATATTAACAGCTCAAACTAATTTTTTCAAAATTTATAGATAACTTATAATATTTTATATATTGATCATATTTTTAATATTGATTGAGTGCTTTAAATTTTTTAGGTCATTCTCTTTAATTTTTTTTAATCAACTAACATTTTTCCTTCAAAAATTTACACCACTCAATTTAATATTTCAATATTTTTGATATTTTATAATTTTGTATTAAAAACAAATGTAATGAACCTCCAAATTGATGAAGGGCGTTTTTTCCCTCATCTCTCCATCATTCTCTTGTTAATTAACTCTTTTGTGGCACATTAATAGGATTGATGATATCTTCCAAATAAGCATTTTTGTTAGAACATTGTTAATCTTGATCTATCATGTTTTTGATTTTACACCTAATACTGTAGCATACCAAGAGCATTAATTTTGTGTAATGCAATATTTTAAAACAATATCATTAGTTGACTAAAAAAATTATAAAAAATGACCTAAAAAATTAATATATTTAAAAAATATTAAAAATATGGGTAAGTTTTGACCTACACAAAAGGTATAATGATTAGGACATTGTCTTTAAAACTCATTGATTGACATATAAAAAATAACAAGCTATCTATAAATTTATGAAAAAACTAGCTTGAGCTATTAATATTAAAAAATAATTTATAAATTTTGGATGAATATTCATAAATAATAATATTCAAATTATTAAATATTAAAATATTTTATATTTTATTAATATTTATCAAATTTTGTTTTAATAAGATCTCAAGGTGTCCAACGGTCCTAAAAAAAAATTAAGGTACTCAGCACTTCTGAAAAAAGAGTTTATGGGCAAATTAACACTAAAGAACATGGTTATAATACTACCCTTCACTATGTATGTGCCTATACATATGCCACATTAATAAAAAACAAAAAAAATTAATGACTGGCTAATAGAAGGGGTTTTTTACTCCTAAAAAAATAGTTCAAGAAAAAAATTATTTCACTTATCAGCATGGTATTGAAACCCGGACCGGACCGGCCGGGTCAACCCAAAAATTGGTGACCCGATCCCTTGTCTTATCTGGGTTTACTCCTAAACCGGTGAGGGGATGAATCGGTGTAAACGGGTCAACTCGGGTTCAACCCAGTATAACCTGATGGGTTGACTGGGTTAACCGGGTTATTTTTTTTATTTTTTATTTTTCAGAGTGCTAAGTTCAGAAATAAGATAACAAAAAAAAGTGAAACTAAAGTCAAAAAATGAAAAATTAAAGGTAAAGCACGCTAAGTCCAATCCAAATTTTTAAACAGCATTTAGTTCGGCCTTTCATCTGTGTCTCTCCTCTCTCGCCCTAACCTAATCAACGTCTCTTCTCTAACTTAGTCTTTGTCTCTTTTTCAGGCTCCAGCTCTATCTCTGTCTCTTTTCCAGCTCTATTTCTATCTCTGCTATCTCCATCTCTTCTCTAGCTTAGTCTCTGATTCTCCGTCTCTTTTCCAGCTCAATCTCCATCTCTTCTCTAGACTTTTGAGATTGAAGAGTTGTAATTGTAATAATAGATATTTAAAGTATTGAATTTTATTACTGTTAGACTTTTGAGTGGTTGGATTTGGTTGAATGTTTTTATAATTAATGTCTTTTTATTTAAATTGTATTATTTAAATCATGACCGGTTTGCCACCGGTTTAACCCCCGATTCAACCCTAATTGAACCACTAACCTGTGACCCAGTGTCATGACCGGTTCAATGACCGGTCCGATTTTACGTACCTTGCTTATCAGTACAAAATATCTAGTGGTTTTAAAAAAGTTCAAAGATAAAAATACATCTTAAGCCCAAAATATTAATGATTAACATTGAACCAATAAGTCTCTTTAATAATATTATGTATATATATATATATATATATATATTTATAAAGGGAAAATGAAAATAAAATCCCTTTGAATTGTATAAATAACAATTTGATCTCTTGAGATGCCGTAATTTTATTAAAGTCTTTAAAAAATTTTCAATCATTAATGAATTTATATGAATGATCAAATTACCCTTGTAGTAATATCAGAAATTTGATATACAAAGTTATAATTTGTTGTTGGATTGTTATAAATATAAGAAGGATATTTGTGATTATTTAAACAAAACTTGTGATCATTACTTGTTATTTTCAACACTTGTAGTAATATTAGGAATTTGATATGCAAAATTGTAATTTGCTATTGTATTATTACAAATATAAAAATAAAAGTTGTAATTATTTAAATAAAATTTGTGATCATTTTATTTTTAATAAGAGCAATTTAGCCATTTATATAAATTTATTAATGATAAAAAAGTTTTTAAAGACTACAATAAAATTATGGCGTTTCAAAGGACGAAATTATCATTTATATAATGTAAAGAGATTTTATTATCATTTTTTCTTATATAAATTTAGTTTCCAAACATTTTCATGATTGTTGTTAGTTTACCAAACATACACTTAATTAAGAATGTATAGAAATATTTTAAAAAAAATAAAATAAAAATTGTATTTAAAAAAATGTAATAGATACATTTTTCATTTTTTTTCATAAAAAATATTTTTAACCTACTGAACATTGCATAAGGTGATCCATCTTCTTTGTACTTTTGTGTCTTCCGTAATTGGAGTTCGTGCACAAGTTAATAAAGAAAAAATTGAGAGCGTGGACCTTTAATTTGTAGCAGATAGCTGAAAGTAGACTACGTGCACATCTATAGGATATGAGAGTTGCGTCAATCTGCTGTGACTGATAAATTAGAAAACTCAGCTAAACCTAAAACTAATCCCTAGGTCACTTCCAGTGGATTAGATAATAGCGGAAAGGAAAGAATTAAGCAGCATCTGAATACAAACCATTACTTCCTTAATATTTATTATTATTATTTTAATTTGACAATTGTTATATAGTAATACGAATAGGAGAAAATAATCATTTTTGAATCCTTCATTAACTTCTCACTAGAACATTATTTTCATCAATATCTTTTGACTCGATTGGTTTGGTCTACTATAATTAGTATATCACTATGTGCAGAAATATAATTGTGTAGAGGTAGCATTCCCTTTCAATTTCTTCAATATTTAGTATCTTTGTTTGTTATCCATGTCACAAACTTTAAAATACTATTTAAAAGGAAGAATACATTCTAAAAAACCAGCTTATTGAAAACAAAAAGAGCCTCTTAAATCTATAAAGGATTAATTAATATTCTATATCTTAAATAGCACCTTAAATTCTAAATTTTTAAAATGTGTAAAAACTCTCTTCAACTTTTGAATTCCAAACACCTGGAGCCCATATTTTTAAGCATTCTAGATCCTAAACTCTCATCAACTTCTAAATTCCAAGCATCCTGGATGATTATTTTTAAGGGTTAAGATGAGTGCCACATCAACGTACAATTAGGGCCGACAATTATAAAAGTAATGGTCATTTTCTTCAATTTAATGGTGGAATTTTAGATATTTAGAATTTAAAAGTTAAGAAGAATTTCTGCACATTTCAAGAGTTCAGGGTTCAAGATGTTGTTCATGCAAAAATTTAGAATTTAGGACACTTATTAACTTATTTATAAATCTTGCTTCACTTGTGAGGTTCACAAGGCCCTCTTAAAAACGGTGAACTTTTAATACCAAAAACAAGCAGAACAGAAAATTCAAATGAAAAATATGATGGTTATTTGAAGTACATGTCACTGAAGTCAGTAAAAGACACTCCACTCAAACCAAATTACAATTATTGGAAACAAAGTGATAGATCAGATGACAGAAAGGTGAAGAAACCAACAGGAGAGGCTACAGAATACAGAGGAAGGCCTCTGCATTATTGAATCACGCTAAAAGAAAACTGGAAATTTGTGATGGAAACTTTTGACGAAATGTGAGGTATTCATAATGGTCAAATGGTTTATATCGCATTGGATGGTCTTCATCAACTAGCTCTTCTTGTGTCTCAACCATCTTACCATTGAATGAAAACAACCCCATGGAACACCTTTTCTTCTGTTCCTTTATGATGATTCGGTGTTCACATGACTCTATTCTGTCATTACTCCATATCTAAAACATACACATAAAGATTTCATTTGTCTATGAAACATTGAAAAAGAAACAGTTTTTTGACATTTCAAATATGATACTAAATAACCCACCTTTAATGCATCACCTGCTAGGAACAGAAACAAGCAAGGTGAGGGATTAAGATCAATCCAATCACCACTTTTCAGTTTAACTTGCAAACCTGTCACATTATTTTGATGTAGTATGGTGAAGTATGATACATCTGTGTGAGCATACAATCCTAAATTATTCTCATGATTCTCAGGTACTAGGTATTTAAAGCTTCGAAGCATGTAATTGGTTGATTCAAGCAGGGAATCACAGCCTCTGTTGTCCAAACCATAAGCATCAAACAGTAATCTTTTAGCAGTTTTGTCCGTTTCTACTAGCAACTTTGCATACTGATTGATCGTCTCACTACTCAAACAACGAAAGAAACTATTAATGACTGCAAAAAGTTCAAGTAAAGAAGGAAACAACATAAACAGGTTTTAAGCAGTACCAGAAATGATCATATCCTGTTGGCCACATGATGTTGGCATACTTTTGAATTGCTTCTTTATTGAAGGGGCCGTCAAAGTCGATACCAACAGATTCATATAAAGGAGCCTGAGGAGTTCGCTCGTAGTAACCATGGTAAGGCTTGTCACTGGTTTTTTTCATTTTTGTTTCCAGTGGAAGATCAAATAATTCTTCCATTAGAGCAAGTACTGAGTTGTGAAGCTCCATAGAAACCTTCTCATTCACTGCGTAGAAACAACTATTACTCTCCAGTGCACTACGCACCAATTGGCTAGCTGAAAACCATGTGTCTGTACCAGGCTTCAAGTTTTGTTCTGTAAGGTCTATAACAGGAATCTGAGAAACTGTTTGGGAACTCATTGGAGAAATTAAGAGTTGGGGAAAAGATATCTCCTAACGTTGTGAATGTCTTGAGCTTTCAGCTAATGAAATTTATGCAGGTAAGTCAAAAAATAAAAGATTACTGCCTTCCACGAACATGAGATATCAGAGTTGCATCAATATGTGTAGCTAAATTACAAAGAAATAACCAAACACAACCAAAAAGAGAGGGAGGCAACTGTGTCTTGTCGGCGAAGATTGTGCTCAGTTTCAATTTTTTATTTTAGTTTTGGAGACAGATGTCATTTGCCAGTTGCCAATAGAGAATTGGACGAGTTTGGAACTCACACGCATTACGGCACTCTACTTTTTTAATTTTTTATTTTTATTCTTATCTATAAGGCCGGGTCGGTTCAACGATAGGTAAGCAATATAATAATGTTTATTTTGATATCAATATGTAATGAATGGACTGGTTTCTATTTTAATATTTGTCCACTGGGAATGCGCCAAATGCATCATTTAATGGGCTTGCGACAAGTAATTAGGCGTAAAGTATTGGTGGGAGATGGGTGACATTTAATATTTGATTATGCATCGAGCAATTATTTTCAATTGGCAAAGGCTCGTACATAGTTAAAAAAAAAAAAAAATTGAACACTAAGGTCTAGGTAGGTGTGTTGATGATTTTGGTGCCAGTTTTTATTACAAGACACATTTTAACTCATTAAAACTAAAAAATGTGGTTAAGTTATTATCTTTGTCCAAAAATAAAATATATTTTTAATTTTATTTCAATTTAAATAAAAAATTTTTAAATTATTTGCATTATATATTCTTTCTCATAGTTAATAAATTTAAATAGAGATAATATTTAAAAAATATAATTCATACCCTATTAAATGCTCTATATTAAGAACTAATAATATCTTCTAAAACGTGTCTGGTAACAAGAAAGAAATCGAGTATTTCTTCTCCTTTCTCATTGATTATACAATTTTCCTCTTCATCATCCTGTATTTCTTTCTCCTCTCAAATCTGAGAACGATCATGACACAATACTATGAAAATAAAAAATAATTTTAATTTTAGACATAATAAAACAAGGATACCGATTGATCATCAAAAAGCAACAACAGACAAGTGCAATGGCAAACACAAGTAGGCAAACGACAACGCAACGAAGACAAAACGCATGACATTAGAATATGCTTGACACTTATTGCCTATTGGGAATGGGCCAAATGTATCATTAAATGGGCTTACGACTAATAATTAAGTATAGAGACTTCTTGCATAGTAAACTCATATTTCATATTCTATTCAATAAAATTATATTAATTCAATCAACTAAAATTTTATATGTTATTATTTTTAATGATTTTATTTTTTTAAACATAAGTACCTCCTTCATTTCTTGTATCTTCTCTCTTTATCATCATCACCAATGAAATAATCAAATTATATTTATGCTACTTGACATGTCATTTTTTTTTAGATAGACAATATATGATATCATGCATGGAGTCCATTCAAGAATTTCTTTTAGGTATAAAAGATTTACCAAGCCCCACAACCCAACTCAACCAAACTTTCTTCTATAAAAAATGAATTAATGGTGCAATTTAGGACATTAAATGCTCATAAAGAAATCGTTCAAAAATAAAAATATATCTTAAATTAGAAAAAAGATAAACAAGAAATGTGCTTATATTTAGTGCATGATGTTACTTCGAATAAGATTATTTTTACTACGAGAAGTCTTTACGCAATTAATGAACACGGGCCTAGGTAAAAAATTACTTACTTTAAAGGAAAATGGTCCAATTTTGCTGAGTACAATGTTTGCTTTCAACAATTGAAAACATTGAAAATTTGCTCTTGTAACTAAGAAACGTTAACTTTTTCGATTAATGGGCTAAAAAATAACATAAAAGACAACCAAAAAATTGAAAAAAATTAAAATAACAGACAAGTATAAACAACTGACAAACTAATGAAACACAAATCCCGTAGCGGCAATAGTGTAATGACCATAAATTTAAAAAAAAAACTAATTTAAAAGAAATTAAATTAATTAATAAATATTTTTTAATTAATATTTTATTTAAATTAATTTTATAGTAAGTGAAGAGAGATAGTTTAATAAAATTTATATTAATAACATTTTTAAAAATTTAAAGTTCGAAGTTTATTGAACAAAAGTTTAATTTTTATTTTGTTTTAAAATTTCTATTAAAAAAATTATGTCTTTTATTATAATTTTTATTGTCCCTTTTCTTATAATTTTATCCATTATTCATGAATATCAGATTTTTCCCTTACACCGCCATTCGAACACCTGGAAGAGTGTGGAATTACATATGCACCCTCATTCCTGTTGTGACTCAACAAAAATATCTGAGAGATTTTATTGTAATTTTACTAATAGTTTCATTGCTCAAATTCTCTTTTCCTCTTTTCGGTCAGCATCGCAGAACAGAGTGGAGGGAGTTCGTGTCTGATTTTCTCTACTCTTCTCCTCTTCCTGTCGCCCTTCCCTCAACCTTTCACCGTGGTGTTATCATCTACCCATCGCCGGCGGTTCTTCCTCGCTCTTTCCCTCTCTTGTTCGTCGGCCTCTATGGAGCTGAGTAGTTAAAACTTCTCCTCTGTTTCTCACGTCATTGGACCCCTTGTTTCTTCTCCTCCATTCTGTTCGATCGAGGTAGCGAGCATGCAAGGAGTTGAGCTACTGTTGGAAGTCCGATTGTGTTACTTCCATACTTGTTCACGGTATTAGCTGGTTCTTCCTTCCCTTGTATCTAGCTGCAAAATTTTCTGCTCTTCTCTCGTTCATATAGTTGCAGATTTAGGCGTTGAGTTTTTTTTCTCCATATTTGAATGCCCAGAATTTTTCCTTCCAGCTTCCGCCATTATTCATCTAAGGTGAGGCAGTTTCATTTCTCTTCTTGCGTGGAAATTCTGTGTTGTGTATGGATGACCAAAACTTTTGATTGTCTTCCCTTGTTTAATTGTTGGTTCTGCTGATAAAAAAAATTATTGGTTTTTTTGAATTGAATTGATTACAATAGTGACATTGTGAAATTTTTGGGAAATGTAATTAAAGAGGAAATAAATTAATTTTAATCAAAAATTAATGCTCAGGAGGTGTTTGACAAAATATTTGGAAGGTAAAATTTTGATGAATAGTAAGAAACAAATGTAATAATTGTATTATTAATTCCTAGTATATTTATAAAATGTCATGACAATGTTAGAAGAAAGTTTGTTGGATTTGAAGGGAATCTAACAAGATCCTCTTATATCTTAAAAGGAGATTGGAAGGGGAGCTTTGTATTAAAATTGACCTTAATGCCTATTCAACGTTTGATAAAACGTGTTAGGAGAAGTTTTGTTTTATGTATTTTATGAAATTACGATCACTCTTATAAAGCGTATTTGATTTGGATATTAATTAATTGTGAGTTTAATATGAGTATTGTGAGAGATTTGTTGAATATGAAGTAAGTGTGTCATTAGAGGAATTCCTAAAAGTTATATGGTTGTTTAGGAAAGTGAGTATGTAAAAGTATTGAAAGGATTGAAGAAACTGAGAATTGGTTAACTAAATTATAATGATTTGGAATCTGATTGATTATAGTGTTGCCAATATTGAAAGATAGTTATTTGATTAGAGTAAGATCATTAAATTGTTCATGATCTTGAATAGGGTGCTTAGAGGAAGGGAGAATTAAATGAAATCTTAAGAAATGAATTCTAGTATTTGGGCACATAACAGGTAAGTAGATAACATTCCAATCAATTTATATATTTTAAAATTTTCTTTTATCAACTATTATTTTTAATAATTTACAGTCATTAATATATGCCACTCTAGTATTGATTAATATTGTTGATTAAATTTCTTTAGCTTTGAAAGTTATCATGATTTATGTTTATAAGATTGGCAGAAATGCTTTTATAAATTCTAGTATTCTTTTATTCAATAAAGACAATCATGGAAATGGGTGAAGAAGTTTATGGAATGTTAGTTGTGAATTTTTATATTTTAAAGGATTGATATTTTAAACAGTTCATGCGAGTTTGATATTGAGAAGAGAAAAGTTTATTTTGAAATTGATGATTTTCTTGCATGTTTGAAAATAAATTTCAAGAGAACTTTATACAGAATACTGTTGCTAACGGCAGTTCCGTTAGCCCTTGGCGCGCCATGGTACACCTAGCTAACAAGGTGTGTATAGGAGGTGCTAGCTACGTGCGATGGTCAATGCACGTGGAACAGAGGGATGGTTATTCATGAGCATCGTACTCACGTTTGTTTCATGACTTCAGCTGCATTTGGTTACATACTCTTGTGAACTGTGTGTTTACGTTTGTTTTGTGACTTTGGCTGCGTTTGGTTATTTACTCTCATGGACTGTGTGTCCATGTTTGTCTTCGTGGCGAGAGTTGCGTTTGGCTATTTACCCTCATGAATTGTGTGTCCACATTTGTTAATTGTTTTGATAAGTTTCTATTATTTGAATGTGATTATTTGATAATCTAACATCCCATTGGTTTTAAATAGTAAATTATTTATAATTATTGATTTTATTTATTTACTTCCTTGCAATCAAGTGATGATATTATTTAATATAAGATTTTAATGGTTTAAAATTTTATTTAAAATTTTATAGAATCATTTTAATTTGAAGTTTATTAAATTTTTATAGAGATCGTTGCCCCTTTAAGTTACATAATTCTTTAAATTTTTTTATGTTCAATTATTTATTGTTAGGACGTTATTCATTGAAAAATTATTATTGGTCTCAGATACCTTAGTTGACGCTGATTTTCCTGCCAAACCCTAAGGACTTTTAGACGTGCTGGGTAGAGAATTGATTGAAATTTTTTTCTTTGATGTAATTATAAATGCCTATGTACTTATTTTTGAAAAGTATACTTAGATGCTCCATATAGATTATAGGTAAGGTTTTATTTTGGTGTGTGTGTGTGTATATATATATATATGCTATCTGCTGATTGGAAGGAGCCAAACTCTTGATTGATATGATATTTTGTGAACATCTTTGTACTGTTAAATTTTTGGAAGATTCTATTTATAGGGAAGGTTTTATCAAAAATTTCTATAAAAATGCTAAAGTTTTTATATTAATGATTAATAATAAGATTGTTAAAATTTCAATATAAGTCTAATTACATTTTAAAAATAGATTGAATGTTCAAATTAAGACTTATCGAAATATATGATGTAGTTTACACCTGTGTCGAGCACTCTGGATTTTTGGAGCGACAAATAGGATAAAGATGTAAACAACAGATCGACCCGCAACAAAGATAAAGCAAATTACATTAGCTCTGAGTAGCATAACAAGCCTCACAAAAGAGATTCCGAAAAACAATACAACCCTCTCTTTCTTCTTGTCATTCATGCAAAATCTCTCTCTCTCTCTCTCTCTAGATATATATATATATATATATATATATAAGTGCGCTTGCGCCGCCATGTATATATATGGGGAACGTACTTTATTATTTAACTTCTTTTCTCCAACACACACACAGATATACTCTAATGATAGTCACCAATCACGCTTGAAATGGCATGTTTGGTTGGGAGGTGTAAAATGCTCACACTTAGAGAAGCTTCAGCTTCTGCAACAAATGGTAGACTTGATTTAACTTTCAACTTATATAACATCAGATCGGAAAACCGCATCATACAAGGTAACTTAAAGTCCAAAAATCAGCTTTCTTTTACATATGGCAAATAGAAGCTCGACACAGAAGATGCGTTTATTATTATACTAGCATCCAGAACTATAATAAGCACTCACAGTAGAATAAAATTTGAAATTTCCTCCTGCGGGGGAAACTTGCTGCGCAAATTTATATATTCATAATGGTTAAATTCTTTATATCGTGATGGATGTTTTTCATCAATCATCTCTTCATGTGTCTGAACCTTCTTGCGATTGTACGAAAGTAATCCCATGGAGTACCTCTCCTTCTCTTCCCACATAATGACTCGGTGTTCACAAGATTGTATTCTATCATTACTCCAAACCTGAAATATTGAAAACGGCATTCATTTCTTCACGAAATTTTCAAAAACAGTTTCTAGGATGCAAATATGAAAATAACCCACCTTTAATGCATCGCCTGCTAGGAACACAAACATACAGTGTGAGGGATCAGTATCGACCCATTCACCAGTTTTTAGCTTAACTTGCAAACCTGCCACGTTATTCTGATGTATTATGGTGAAATATGAACTGTCTGTGTGAGCATACAATCCTAAGGTATTCTGTGTCTTATGGGGTACGAGGTATTTGAAGCTCCGAAACATGTAGTTGGTTGATTCAAGCAAGGAATCACAGTCTCTTTTGTCCAAACCATAAGCATCAAACAATAATCTTTTAGCAGTTCGGTCCATTTCTACGAGCAGCTTTGCATAGAGATTGATTGCCTCACTATTCAAACAATGAAATAAATTATCAATGGCATTAGTTGCAAAGTGATAACAATCAGGAAAACAACGTAAATGACTTTTAAGCAGTACCAGAAATGATCATATCCTTTCGGCCACATCTTGTTGGCAAACATTTGAATTGCTTCCTCGTTGGTGGAGCCATCCAAGTCGATTCCAACAGATTCATATAATGGTGCTTTTGGAATTCGTGGATAGTAACCATGGTTAGGCTTTTCACTGGTCTTTTGATTTTTGGTTTCTAGTGGAAGATCAAACAGTTCTTTCATTAGAGCAAACACTGAGTTGAAAAGCTCCATAGAAATCTCATTAGTCATTGCATAAAAACAACCATGACTCTCTACAGCACTTCGCAACACTTGGCTAGCTGAAAACCAGGTGTCTGTACCAGGCTTCATGTTTTCATCACTGAAGTCAATAATAGGAATCTGGGAAACTGTTAAAGAACCCATCTTCTCAATATTTCTCCAATCTCCGACAAAGTGTTCGAGGATGTTACTATTAGAGAAAGAAGTCCCATGTCGAGTCATCAGAAAGTTGAATAAAAATATGTAAATCTTCAGATATTTCTAACCAAGAGATTTAAGTTATTTTGGTGAAATAAGTCATCCTTAAACATATTTAATATAAACCTTGACATGGTAACAAAAGCTATTCGATCTAGAACCAAAAAATCTGAGAAAAGCAATTAAAAAAAAAGAAGAATGAAAGACGAAGAAGGAAAAAAACAAAAATTAAAAAGAAAAGGGCAGAGAGAGATGTAAAGAGTAAGAAATTTCACATCTAGTAATTAGAAAGTTATTGAGAATGTATAAAACTTAAAATATGTCTAATAAAATGGTTTAAGTTATTTTTTGATAAAATAGATAATACTTAAACATACTTGATATAAAGATAACAACTCTTCAGAGTTACCTTAATGGAAGGTGAAGTTAATAAAGAAAAGACTAAGAATTTGGACCTTTGTTATGACTGAAAACATATTAGTTGCACAGATATGGAACATCGGCGTTGGTTCAATATGTGGCTATTAAACATGGAAGTTTGGAAAAACACACGTACACGGATATGTGAGGATCGAAGTGGAGCAAGTACAGGGCATGTAACTGATTGAAGTCAAAGCAAGTATAGAGATCGTTGTTCAGAAAAATTAAACAGCAGAAAACAGAGAGCACCTGAGTCTTGAGATCGTGGGCGGGGCGAAACCGAAGGGGCGCTGAGGCTCAAGCTTGAAAATCAGAATCAAAGGCTTGTTGGTATTTAAGCTTGAGAGATGGAAATGGTTGGTTGGATGAAATTAATGAATCTTAATCACAAGAGAGGAAAAGGAACTTACGTGGCTCAATGCATGAACTGATGAGGATGTGCATGTAGTGCAAGTGTATTGAGATGCAAAATGTGCGGGGGTTGGTTTTGTTTCTTTTCGTGTGGTCTAAAAAAACAGAGAAAGAAAAGAGTTTGAAATAAATGAAAATATTCATTAATTATTTAGAGAGGTATTTTAACATCCTGGGATTTTGACTTGCTTAGCTTATAGGGGCAAGTAAGAAGCAGAGATTTATGGGCTAATTTAACTTGATCAGACATAAGAATGCTTTAGAAAAAACTGAGGTCTGAGGGCATAAAGCAAGGGCGAAAGCAGCTTTATAATTAGGGGGCTTACTTTTTTAAAACAAATATATGTTATTAAATAAATTATCAATTATGAATAATTACGCATACTTTTTAAAATATATTTAAAAAAAATGAAAAGTAAAATCATATATCTTATACAGTAATTTTGAAAAAGAAAATTACTCCCTTTTCCTAAATTATAAACATTTTTGGGGGAGATTTACAGTCCCAAAATATATATAAGATATTTTAAAAAATTAAAATTGTATTAAATATATTTATTTTAATATTATTATTTCTCTCTCTATTTAATACTAATTAAATATAAATTTAAGGTTATTAAATAAAGAATATTTTTAAAGTTTTTTATTTTTGTTTTGAAAAAATATAGTTATTAACTGTATTTAATAAAGTTTATTGATATATAAAATTTTATCTAAAAGTATCTTATAATTTGAAACGAAGGAAGTATAAAGAATATATATATATATATATAAGGCATCTATATTTTTATATTTTTTATTATATATTGAGTATTTGGATAAAAATTTAGGTTAGAGATATCAAATTTTATTATATATATGCTTTTTTTAAAAAAATATATGTTTGACATAGTTAAAGTACTCTTAATTAATAACACATGCAAATCAAATAATAAAAAATAAATTTATATTCAAAAAAATTCCAATTTTATAAAAATTCATTCTAAATAATTTTTAATTAAAAAAGACCACCATTTGTATAATGCAAATATTAAATATCATTTTTTATTAATGAAATGTATCATGAAAGACAGACGCATATATATGTATATTTTATTAGGGAATCAGTTTGACTAATTGACTACCTGGGTTGGAGAGCCAAATTGATGAATTACGTGGGGATAGTGTCAGGGTGCCGAATACGTGGTCCCGCCACTGGTATCAAGTGATTCGATGCAGTAAGATTTTCACTCCAGTCTAAAATATAAATAATTTTTTAAAAAAATTCATATACTAATAAAGTTATTATTTTCATAAAAATATATTTTTTATTCTTAATTTCAATTATCTTTTTTTGGTCAAATCTTAATTTCAATTATCAATGTCCGTGCTTTATGATAAGTGAGAGATAACTCTATACAAGAATTTAGATTAATAAATATAAGAGATAAAATAAAAAAAAAAATTTTACATGTGCTAGGTTGTTCATATTTTAAATTAAAATTAGCTGAGAGAAAATACTTTTATTTTGAACTAATAGAGTAGTTATCAATTTTCTTTACTACTTCCTCCATTTAAAAAAGTAAAGTATTTTTAATCGAATCTCACCCTCCAATAAATTAGTTAATTATTTTTAAATTAACATTATTTTTTTATATTTACTTTTATTTAATAGGATATTTTATTTAAAAATAAATATAAAATAATTTATTTATTAAGCATATTTTTGAAAAAATATATTAATTATATTTTAAAATATTAAAAATATCTTATATTTTTTAATAGGTTAAGGTGTATTTTTATTCTTGAACTTTTTTTTAAGGAACAATGTTATCTCGTACTCATTATAGGGTAATTTTAATCTTGAACTATTTTTTTTGAAAATCACTAGGCACTTTATAAAAGGATTTTTTTGCTCATTAAAAAAATAATTTAAAATTAAATTACCACACTTATGGGTATGAGGGTAAAATTGCTTTTCGATAAAAAGTTCAGAAATAAAAATGTACTTTAACTCTTTTTTAATATCTAACTCTTTTAAAAATGCTTTAAATTAAAATTTAATAGAGGGGGTAAGTTGTTAATGGAATATTGAGAATGTTCTTGCAATCTCCCTCCTTTCTCGATCTCTCTGATCAAGTTTTCTTCACTTTTGAAATTGTGAGGAGACCCCTTTCTTTTATTTGTGGGAGACATCTATCCCTTTGAATCTGGGACACCGGTGAACCGAACAGAAAAGAGGTGGGAAACTGCCTTTCTTTGTCTTCCTTTCACTGTTAATCAACCAACGTTATGTAATGTCTTCTAAAATATATTAATAAAATCACGCTACTTAGAGAATCTTCAACTTTTCAAAGTAGTAGACTTCAATTAATTTAGATAAAACAAAAGGTGACAAAACCAAGCCAGCATATTAGTACAGAAACCACTTTCTATCCATCTGGGAAATGGAAACTCAAATAAAAGAGTTTCATTTATTATCAACATATATATGTATATGTATAGCCATAGTCAATACTCAATTATATTCCACAGAATGCCTTTATGCGACCCTCAGCTTTTGATGACATGTGAAACCGTATGTAATCATAATGGTCAAATGGTTTGTATTGCATTGGATGGTCTTCATCAACTAGTTCTTCTTGTGTCTCAACCATCTTACCGTTAAATGAAAATAATCCCATGGAGCACCTTTCTTTCTCTTCTCTTATGATAACTTGGTGTTCACAAGCCTTTATTCTGTCGTTACTCCATACCTAAAATATGAAAAAAAAAACTTTGACTAATTCAAGAAACTTCAAGAATAGTTTTCTTAGATGTAAATGTTACCCACCTTTATTGCATCTGCTGCGAGGAACAGAAACATGCAAGGTGAAGGATCAGTATCGATCCATTCACCATTCATGAGTTTAATTTGCAAACCGGCCACATTATTTTGATGTAGTATGGTGAAGTAAGATCTATCTGTGTGAGCATGCAATCCCAAATTATTCTGTGTCTTTTGAGGGACTTTGTATTTGAAGCTCCGAAGCATGTAATTGGCTGATTCCAGGAAAGAATCACAATGTGTTTTGTCCACCCCATAAGCATCAAACAGTATTCTCTTAGCTGTTTGGTCCATTTCTACTAGCAACTTAGCATAGAGATTGAGCTTCTCACTATGCTCAAACAATGAAATAAAATTTTCATGATACAGCAGAAAGTAGAAGTGTAACTAAGAAAACATGTAAACAATTGATTGTTTGAAGTATTACCAGAAATGATCATATCCTGACGGCCACATGGTATTGGTGAACTTTTGAACTGCTTCCTTATTGGAGGGGTCGTCAATTCCAATGGATTCATATAAAGGGACTATAGGATGTGGCTCATAGTATCCATGAAAAGGCTTATCGCTGGTCTTTTGCTTTTTTGTTTCTAATGGAAGATCAAAAAGCTCGTCCATTAGAGCAAAGATTGAGTTGTAAAGCTCCATAGAAACCGTATTACTCATTGCATAAAAGCAACCATTATCTTCTAGTGCACTTCTCACCACTTGGCAAGCAGAAATCCAGGTTTCTGTACCAGGTTGCAGGTTTTCATCAGTGAAGTCTATAATAGGAATCTGGTGGGAAACTGTTTGGGAACCCATCTGATATTCCTCCAGTCTCCCCAAGAAACTGTGAGTCTAGCCAGGGATGATACATCAACTGCTATTTAAAGGTGTAATGTGCTTCAATTAATTAGTTCTGGGAAAATTGGCCACAAGAACCAGGAGGCCCAAATAATTGTGAGCAAGTCTCGAATGCGTAAATAAAGCCTGCAAGGGACCATGGTCCTGGATCAACAATATGTTTTCAGAGAAAATGACAAAAGTCCCTTCTTTTTTCTGGATTAATATGTTGAAGTCATTCATAAATTTTCAATGACTTGTACTTCAGAGACAAGTGCAAAGAAAAAAGATAGGGTATTTTGACATTTTTCACTGAAAAACATATTGTCCTTCAAGGACCATGATCTATGCAGGCTTTATTTTTGTATGAGAATTATGTCTAAATATTTAAGTTTTTTGGTCCTTATGGCCAATTTTCCATTAAGCTAATAGCGTATACATCTCTCTTCATTTGTTGCTTCATGAGTTGGTCTTTGAATAAAGAAAAGAACTATTTATTCACAAGGTTTTCTTTTTTCTTGATATCAGAGAGTGACAGATATTTGACTGCATTTATCTTTGGGAAAATGATATTTAAGACCCTCTCAAAAAAATTTATCATAATATGGACTCATTAATTTTGTATCGGATATTTCCTTATAAAAACATATATATGTTGTTTTAAGAAAAATCAACCTTTAACTTCTTAAATTTTTAAGGAAACCTCAACAAAACAATATCTGAAGCAAAACTAATGGGCTCTTATTGTGATAAATTCTTTTGAGAGGGCTTTAAATATCATTCTTTTTTTATTTTTCTTTTGTTAGGGGAGTAGTACTTTTGATGCGTGCATATCTATATGAAAGTATGTACAGCTAATCACAGATCATCATCAAGAAAACAATGTTTCAGCTGCATTTATCATATTATACCCTAGTCCTTGTTATCTATACTTTATACATTGGAAAACTACTTTTTAATTTGATTGATGGCTAAGTACTAAAACGAAGAGGAAATAACAATTTTAAGTTCATCTTTCATGTTTTTTTAGTTGAAACATTATTTTCATCAACTATGAATAATTTTACGTAATTAATTGGATAATTATTTTATTCAATTATATATGTGGATTGACTGAAGTGACTAAATGACTAAATCCAGTTGAAATAATGAACAAGGATCGATCCCCACGATTCTTCTGTTGTCGTTATAGAAACATAAAATTATGTAAATCTTTTGCCCTTTTCAAATCGAATTTTATATTTGTGGTACCAAAATGCCTCGTAAATAATTGTACGACAACTTATTAATTTCTAGTGGTCCAAAGTATACAACTTGAGAATTATATCATAGGCCCGCCACAAGATTTAGAGGGGGTGTGTGTATCGAAAAAGAATAGAGTTCTTTGTCTTTAACGTAGGTTTTATTTAACTAAATGGTCCTCCATTAATAGTCAACCCTAACATGTCATATTCTCGATTAAGTTAATCAAGTACTCTCTGGGTGAAATATTTTATCCACACTCCATGTAAGTTTTACATTTGTTTAAGGGATCGAAACATAGACGGAATATGGAAGCCAATAAAAAAACTATTAACTATACTAAGGGGCTCAAAATATTGGCGAGACAAAATGCCCCTCCATCTTTTCTTCATCATCCAACTACCACCATTGCCAGAGCTGCCGCAACCACTGCCGGCAGCTGGTGACATGGCCGGCTTCTTAATTGGGAATATTAGAAGGCCACTTGTGAATGCTAATTAATAGTAATCACTTGCGAATAGTCTTTTGTACGTTTTTTCTGGGCATGCAACTTGCAAATCTTAAAGTAATTATATTAGAATTTCATTATATAACTTGTTTATAATAGATAATCACTTGTTTATTATTTTTTGAGGCTTTCACAGATATAGCTCATGTTATAAGATCAAACTAAGCAAACAACCTAATATTTATTATATTTTGCATTATAACTGGTTTATTATATTTATTAATGATATAGCATTGTATATTAATAATAAACCCTTTGTAAATTCTTAAATTTTCAGTGATGAATCACTTGTATATTAATGATAAATCTCTTATATATTAATATGAATTGCTCATACTCCCAAATTTTTAAAAATTTGATCCATATTTTTTTCACAAGATTTTTAATTTTCAGCCAATGGGCCAATTTATCCTCATTTTTTTACACTTGTAAATTTTTAAACAATTAAATGGAGAATATTAGAATATTACTTGTGAATAGTAAAGGATTACTTCAATTTCAAATTTTTGAATATATTAGATGATTTTAACGAGCACAAATTAAAAAGAAAAATCCATAAAAAAAAAAACTATCTTGTTGGGTGAGAAAACTTCACATTTATAAGCCCCATATTTCACTTGTAAAATTTTTTCAACTACTAAATTGAGGGGAAAAAAAAGGGAAGGGCATTTCATCCAACATTTTTTTTTTTCAAATAAGGACCCACATGTCGAAATGTTATTCCTTATCATCATCAAAATAATACAAGGACTATAATATAGGACCACGTCTATAAATTCAAACTTTACGTAGACGTTGTGTTTGTATATATACGATATATATTATGACATAAACACGTTGGTCCCAATACCAGTGTGGAGCTAACCAGGCCAACAAAATTCCTGGAAAAAATTATTAAAAAGTTGACATTATTTTAAGCCAAATATATAAGCATTAGTTTATATATACCCCGTACTACATATAAGAATAAAAATTCGATTCTCACCTAACTCACTCGAACTTTTTCATCAAAAAAAAAATAATATTGATTTTCAGAATAATAATGTCTCTCAAAGCCTACACTATTTAAATGACGCAGTCTCGACTCATTATTAACACCCACATCTTCAAGTTAACCTAGCTTAAACTAGAACATATCCCTTCACTTCTAGTAGAGGCCAAACAAATAAAATGGATTCAGAAACCACCGTTAAGCTTCCAGTCATTGACTTCAACAGCCTTGACCTGGAATGCAAAAACCCTAATAAGTGGGACGAAGTCAAATCCCAAGTCATCAAAGCACTTCAAGAGTATGGTTGCTTTGAGGCTCTGTTTGACAAGGTTCCTTTAGACCTTCGCAAGTCCTTATTAGTCTTGCTCAAAGAGACATTTGATCTCCCTCTTGATACCAAGCAACGAAATGTGTACGAAAATCCCTTTTATGGTTATATTGGAAAAGGTCCTAGGAGTCCACTGTACGAGAGCATTGGCATCGATGATGCACTTGTCCTTGAGAAAGTAGAGAGCTTGGAAAATAACTTATGGCCACAAGGATACCCAACTTTCAGGTTGATCTAAAATGGGATCTCTCTCCTTGTTTCTAGAGCGATCGCTCCCCATTTCTATCAAAGGATTTATCATTGATTCTTTTATCTAACCAAAACATGACTTCTGCGTTATAACTGTTTGTTATTATTTTGGCAGCAAAGTTATGAATGCCTTCTCAGAGCAGGTATCAGAGTTGGACCAGATGGTGAGGAAGATGGTTCTGGAAAGTTTAGGAGTTGAGAAGTACTTGAATGAGCACATGAACTCAAGCACTTATATGCTGAGGGTTATGAAATACTCGGCTCCTCAAACTGAAGATGCAAAGCTGGGTGTAATACAACACACAGATGCCGGCATAACGACCATACTGTATCAAATTAATGAAGTTGAGGGTCTAGAGATTGAAACCAAAGACGGAAAATGGATAACTTACCATCCTTTACCTCATAGTTTTGTCGTTTTCGTCGGCGACTGTCTCCATGTAAGTCAGATCTATTTAATATACAATGATTTCATTTCATTTCACCTAACATCTGTCTGTTTATGGCTTTATATGTTGTTTATCGCTTATGGTGGCTAACAACATCATTGTTTGTTTTATTAAGGTTTTACTATGTTACGTGACGTAAACTTGTTAATTTACAGAGATAATGAAACTTTTAGTTCTTTAACTTTGACCCAGTTTTTAATTTGACAACCTCTCTCAAATTTACTTTTTATCAATTTGGTCCTTTAAATTTGTTTTATTTATTAATTTGGTTCTTTTTGTTTGAAGAGAAGGTTATAAAATTAAAATCTGCTGATATAAATAATGGAATATTGAGTTGGAAGCCATAGCAATTTAACAAAATGGAATGTAATTAGTTAGGAAGGAAAAAGAAAAGAAAGCAAATTCAGATTTTTTTTAAAAAAAACATAACGTAAAGAATTATATTGATAAAAAAGTAAATTTATTTGAGATCAGCCACATATGCATGTCAAATCATCAGTATACATACCATATCACATTAATTTCATGTAGTTAATTAGTATTTCAAAATCTAAATGACTAACATGATGATTTTCTATAAATTGATAAAAATTAAACTTGAAGAATCAAATTAACAATCGATGCAAATTTAAGGGGCTAAAAGTTTTATTATCCCATTTATATACAATTGAAGCATGAGAAATATAATTAATGCAGGCTTGGACAAATGGGAGGTTGTATAATGCATTTCACAAAGTTATGATCAGAGGAAATGAGGCAAGATACTCAGCAGCACTGTTTGCAAGGCCAAAAGAAGGTTACATAATAAAAGCACCGGAGGAGCTGGTGGATGAGGAACATCCTCTTCTATTTAAGCCCTTTGATTTCGTCGAGTTTGTGAACTATTTCCACACAGAAGAGGCCCAGAAACACAGAATTCCTCTCAAGGCTTATTGTGGTGTTTGATTACATTGCAATAACTTATTTGAGTCCAGATTTGTGGAATAAATTCTTGTATAAAGTTCTATTGAAAATAAAAAAAATCAATAAAAGTTGGTCTATTTAATAAGGATTTGATTCATAACTTAAAAGTTTATACGAGCACTTTTTGATTCTGAAGGTATGCCCTAATCTTGGTGAACTCATAGGATACAACTCATCTAAACTTTTGTATATCAAAAAATAAAAATAAAAATAAAAGATAATGTCAAATGAGAGTGATGAGTTGTTATATATGTGTTATGCTTTCCAATAAACAAATGGAATGATCTATTCATTGGTTGCTTCAGGTTTACCTTTTTTTTTTTGGTGAAACGTTTCATGTTTACCTTTTAATAAAGAAAAGAATTATTTATATATGCAGAAAAGCGTACCTTTTTTACATGATATATCAAAGTATATATAACAGATCTTCAAGTGCATTTATTTTCTTTTGAGAGGGGAAACAGTACTTTTGATGTTTGCATATACATATAAAAGTATATGTCACTGTTGATCTTCAAGTGCACTTCTTTCATTGAATTTTTATTTATGGTTTTTTAAGGTTTGTTTATGTGGAATAATATCTAATTCTAAAAATATTCCATGGATTATAACATAATTAATATTCCGAACGTACGTTGCATAATAGATGTTTGAAATGAAAGTACGCCACTAAGAAATTTTAAGACGAAAACGTATTGAACAAATTTTTATAATTAATACATTATTGTTTAAAACACACACACACACACACACAAGTTCCTTGAAATATTTGCCATGCTTTCACATAAAAATTTACAAAAGCAATTTTATTCACATTAAAATAAACAAATCATAATTTAAATCTAATGTAAAAGATAAAGTATAAAAAAATGATCAACTAGATTTTCTATAGACACCAGACGTTGTTTAAACGACAAGAGCCCTTGTCACTCACACTACTATTTTAATATAATTGATGATCAAGTATGAAGTAAAACTAAGAGAAAGTTGTCATTTTTATTATCGTTCATTTTTTTATTACACTGTTGAAACATTATTTTCCTCGATGTCTTGTTACTTAATTGTTTTTGTTTGTATATCACTGTTAGGAGAATATAATTATACATAAAGTGGAAGTCATTTCAATGCAATAACTAGGAAAGCGGTCCTAATAAGAGAGACAATCCATCAATCCATTCTCCATATTTGTTTAATTACAAAGCCTCTGATCACAAAATATATAAAGACGAGGATAAGGATGTTTATAATTTTTTTTTAAAATTGAAAAGTTGACAATGGACCCATTGCCAACTTCATCTGCACTGGCTTTGAGTCTGAAGAATCTTTTGATCGACCATTTTTGTATGGATTTAAATCCTTTGAAGTTGGGATAAGTGTTTCCTTTTCAAAAAAGGAGGAAAACATTTTATATTTTACAAAAAATAATAAAATAAGTAAAAATACTAAAAAAATTCACGCAAAATCACCAATACTAATTTCAAAATATTTAAATCCTAAACCGTATAATATATCAACACACTTATTTTGACGGTTTCCATTTCCTGCCAAAATAATTTATATTTTTCAAATTTTTTATTTTATATATGGCACAAAAATTTTCATTCATCGCCCAATTCCATTCATTTACTTTTCCCGTCCATTTCTCCAATTTCATACACACATTTACAAAAACAATTTCATTAATTAAAAATATATTTAACTTACAAATAATAGTATTTAACATTTTGGAATTAAATATCATTATACATTTTTACGGTCTTAATATTTAAAATATTAATACATAAATCATAAGTGTTCAAAATAAGCAATGATTGACCCTTTTCATGGCCAACAAAATTAATGATTAATTCGGCATGAGTAAATTTTTTACGGTAAACAATTATTGAGGTAAATTTAAATTTTTTATCTACAGCGCGTTCATTAGTTGTCAAAAATACTTTTTTTATAATATCTTTTGTAACACATACTAACAATCAAAATATATAACTTCTAATAAAACAAAAATTGACGGCCAAAGACGTCTATTTGTACAGTTCTAGCCCAAAAGTAGAATCTTTCGATCGGCCATTTTGGAAGTTTTAATTATGCCACATATACCTTGAGCCAAACTTCTTAATTTACATCATACAATAAGAAAGCATTTTATCGATTCTCAAAATAATACTTTGTCCTCTCTTATTACCCTTACCCACAACATGAACAAAGGCTTCATTATTTAAATGACTTGATCAAAACTCATCACTCATCATCTGAACACACTCACCATCAAAGTAGAGATTCCAAAAGAAAAGAAATGGGCTCAGAAGCCATTCTTAAGCTTCCAGTCATTGACTTTAACAGCACTGACTTGGAATGCAAAAACCCTAATATGTGGGACGAAGTGAAATCCCAAGTCCACAAAGCACTTGAAGAGTGCGGTTGCTTTGAGGCTTTGTTTGATAAAGTTCCTTTAGATATTAGGAAATCCTTATGTGTCATGACAAAAGAGTTATTTGATCTCCCTCTTCAAACCAAACAACGTAATGTGTCCAAGAAACCGTTTCATGGTTATGTTGGGCAATACCCTAATGTGCCGCTCTATGAGAGCATGGGCGTTGATGATGCAAATGTCCTTGACAAAGTTGAGAGCTTTGAACAAACCTTGTGACCTGAAGGAAAACCAAATTTCAGGTCTCATCCAATTTAGATTTAATTGTTTGTTATAGATTTGATAATAGAAACCCTTTTCTGTAGTATAACTTTTCCATGTATTGCTTATGTGCTGGCAGCAAAACGGTGCAAACCTACGCAAAGCAGGTATCAGAGTTGGATCAGATTGTGAGGAAGATGGTTCTGGAGAGTTTGGGAGTTGAGAAGTACTTGGAAGAGCACATGAACTCAACCAATTATCTTCTGAGGCTTATAAGATACACTGCCCCACAAGTTGAAGACACAAAGCCGGGTATAGCCTCACACACTGATGTGAACATAGTGACCACACTTTGCCAATTAAATGAAGTTGCTGGTTTGCAAGTTGAAACCAAAGATGGAACATGGATCACTTACCAGCCTTCATCACCTCACAGTTTTGTCGTTATGATGGGTGACTCATTCCACGTAAGTCCATTGTATATAAAGCCTATGTGAGAAAAACTAGGTAACCAGTAATTAATAACGGTTGGATTTTGGATCTGCACTTGATGAGTCATAATATCTAATGTGGCCTTTTTTTAACTGAATTCAATTATATTAAATTAATATTATTTAATTTAATATTAGGTTAAATTAGTTTTTACTAAAATCAAGAATTAAATATGATCTAATTCTTGGCTGAATCCACAAATATCTTATTCAATTAAGACATCACAATTAATTGAATATATCAATGATCACAATCATTTCATCATTGATGCTTGAGAAATATGTATGTATGTTGCAGGCATGGACAAATGGGAGGGTGTATTCGGCATTTCACAGGGTTATGATCAAAGGAAATGAGGCGAGATACGCAGCAGGACTGTTTTCGATACCCAAAGGAGGGTACATGGTGGAAGCACCAGAGGAGCTTGTGGATGAGGAACATCCTCTTCTGTTTAAGCCCTTTGATCACGTTCAGTTTCTCAACTACTATTACACTGAAGGTGCCCAGAGGGAGAAATATGCTTTGAAGGCATATTGTGGTGCTTGAGTAAATTTCAGTAATTTTATTTATGAGTTAATATTATATATTGTCTGCATGCGCCAAATTAACTAATGAATATCGCTCGCTTAGTGTTTTTATTTTTTTTTTCATTTTTATTTTTTTGTTTTATGGATGCTTAGTGTGTTATTTATGGGCACATGTGCACTTTTACTTTTGCTATCACTTTATTCAAAATAGGTTATCTTATTAGATTTGGACTTGAGCCTAATTTTGCTCCTTCAAATTTATGAGAATACATAAAACATGTATGATCAAGTGCCATGCGTTGAAATTAAAAGTGTTGGTGTTGTGAACCTGAGTTTATTATAATTAAGCTCTAAGCTAGTAATTATTATATTTAGAACTTCATATATTTTCTCTATTTTATATAAGATGTATTATATTCTCTCTGTTATATATGTGATCACTTTATTCATATACATAGAAATATATACATGCATACAAATTCCATGTATTATCATTCCGCTAATCTTTTTTATATTAGGCATGTATACGATCAACATAGCCATCAAACATTAAACAAGAATTAATTAATCAGCTGCAATGGATCATGCACTCAATTATAAACAGTGATTGAGAGTAAAACTTTCAAATAATGTACACCATCAAAAATTACTCCACGACTATTACAATCAATTATTGCAAACCTTGTAAATAAACCATCTGTTATGAGGATTTTGACTCGTAAGAAACCGAATGAAGTGCAGCAGACTGAAGTTGTGAGGACATCGCGGCCTATGAACTAGGCTTTTGAGATAGGCTTTCCCTTTTGAACTTGTGTTCATAACACCATCAACGCTGAAGAATGATTTCATATGCGGCTGACATTCACATCATGCCACCTGACTTGCAATCTCTGATTCAATCAATAGCAGGAACTCTGTTCCTCCTTTTCTTAAATTGACGTTCCACGCTAATTATAATAATTTTGATATCTGATAACTTTGTTTGGAAGAATTATTGTACTACAGCATCATATAAATTTGTTGTGGTCCAACATCAATTCCAATTGACGTATGGAAAATGAATAACTGACGAGGTGAAATTTGCAATTACTCTCATTAACAATGTAATACCATTATTAATTTGCAATTCTTATTCCATCAACGTCAGTTGTTCATTTTTTATATATCAATTATTCACTTTTCATACACGGGTTCTTTATATGTCTAGCTTCACCAAAAACAATAAAATCATTTGAGTTAGCTCTTTAATTTCATTTCAGTCCTCCAAGTATGCGGTGAAATTTCAGAATATTGGAGGGTTGACTCAAATTGTGTTGAGTTAAAGGACGCTGACTGAAATTTTTCTATATTTAAAGTTTTAAAAATAATTAAAATCTTAAAAAAATTCTAATTATTTTCAAAAGCTAATTAAATGAGAGAGAATGTTTAAAAAATTTGGTATACATAAAGATATCATAAAATTTTTAAATAATAAAAATAATAAATTATTTTTATAAAACATAAAATAGTGTATGCTTTTTGTGAAATTTCTACAAAATAAATTTCTTAACTATCTAAAAATTACTTATTTTTTAATCTCAAACAAACAAGTCCTAAATGATTAAATTCAATAAAAAAAATGAAAACAATCCCCACAACCACGACTCTTTATGTCGATATGTAAATACAAAATTATGTTGCGATATGCTATATTTTGAAGCCAAATTTAATACTAATGGTACCACAATGCTCGGTAAATAATTATACGACAACTTATTAATTTTTAGTGGTCCACACTGCTTATGAATGATATGATATCATAGACGAGCCCCACAAGATTTATAATTATAATATATATCCAACAAAAAATAGAGTTCTTTGTCTTTAATGTAGTTTTTATTTAACTAAACCAAATGGTCCTTCACTAATCAATCTCAACACATGTCATCAAGCCTTGTGCTGAAAGATTTCATCCATGTTCCTTTTTTAAAGCCCTGACCCCACTAAAACTCATCTGTATGTTATTACTTATTATCATCAAAATAAATATATTGGACCACATCTATGAATTATGTCATTTTTTTTTCATTTTGTCACTTAATTGCAGAAACATAAAAAGACAATATTGTGTGTATCTATACAGCCACGGTGACATAAAAACTTTGGTACTTTGGTCCTGATATAAAATAATCATAGCTTATTATTCACAATTTCTCATGAACCAAGCTTTAGTTAGAATACACTTAAAAAGCAATTATTTTTTTATAGGCACTTAAAAAGCAATTATCGACGGATGCAAAATTGAAAATATTTAAAATTATTGATTAATTTTATTATTGTCCTCTAACAAATTTATATAATGTTAAAAGGAATTTTGCCTCTCGACTATTATTTGCTCATGAGTGTTTGGTATCCTAAACTTACATGTGTTACAATTTCTTCAATAGTTGAAAATGTCATACTACACCCCCACCATTAGAAATGTTAACTTTGACTGTTAATTATTCCTAAAATAATACTTTATAAGAAAATTAATATTGATTAACTCCCTAAAATAATGGTTGATCAAAATCATATTTTGGCCTTTTTATGTGGGTAATGTTGTTATTTATATATAATTTAGGAGACTTAATTGATATTAATTTTGTTATAAGATATTTATGTGTAATTTTATCAATCCTTTTTTGTAATTTCTGAGGTCCTAGTTTGTAATTTATAAATCAACTAACGTTGAAAGTTAAGGACAAGATATCTAGTGCACCATTTTTAAATATTGAAAGGAAAAATTACACCTCATTTAAGTTTAGGATCAAATGCTCCTGAGTGAATAATTGATGAGAAAAATATCCTGTAACCCATATACTAAATGCTGAATCTTTCTCAACATAATTTTATGTCTTATTCATAAATATTTAATCTTTGCTTCTTTATTATATATGAATTTGGATTCAGTTACTTTACTTGATACAGGCACTACCTCTACCATTTGAGCTGTTGAAATTCAGATTAACGGTTTAAATAAACTCACTTATTCATTAATCTCAAATGAATTATGAATTCAAAACTATTGATCTATATTTTAGTAGCTCAAATGATACAGGCAATAAGTATAGTTACCAAATCCAAATCTATTATATATGGAGTAAAATACACTACTTCAATTTTTTATTAGTATTTCAAGCATCAAATCAAATAACTAATAAGATTAGGCAGAGATCTGCACGTAAAAACAATGGACCCATTGTTGTGTTATGGCATTTCTTTACATTTTAAGCAAACATCTTAGTATACACCTTACAAAAAGAATAATATACATTGGATTCTCACAATAGTTCTATGTGTCGACCTCTCTTATTCCTTAGTCATCACATAGCCTTCTTTATTTAAATATGGCATGATCAAGACTCATTATCACTCATCACAACACACGCATCATCAAAATAGAGAGGCCAAAGAAAAGAAATGGGCTCAGAAGCCATTGTTAAGCTTCCAGTCATTGACTTTAACAGCATTGACTTGGAAGGTAAAAACCCTAATAAATGGGGCGAAGTGAAATCCCAAGTCCACAAAGCACTTGAAGAGTGTGGTTGCTTTGAGGCTTTGTTTGATAAGGTTCCTTTAGGTATTAGGAAATCCTTGCTTGTTGTGCTCAAAGAGCTCTTTGATCTCCCTCTTCAGACCAAGCTACGAAATGTGTCTAAGAAGCCTTTTCATGGTTATGTTGGGCAATACCCTCACGTGCCACTCTATGAGAGCATGGGCATTGATGATGCAAATGTCCTTGACGAAGTTGAGAGCTTGGGAAATAACTTGTGGCCTGAAGGACACCCAAGTTTCAGGTCTTGTCCAATTCTAGGTCTCATCTTAGTTATTTAGGGATCATATTTAATTATTGCATATTTTAATTTATTTTCTATTAGTTTATCCTCAATAAGATTAGATCACATAGAGTCACAAACTTTTGGATGATTTTATGAAGAATTTGATAATGGATGGTAATTTTTACCTGTCATATTTTTAGTTTTTTACCTTTTTGACTTTTACTGCTTCTCAACTTTTGCATTGTAGCCTTTCTGTGTTTGGCAGCTTGGAAACTAATTATATATTTTAATTAAATAATTTGAAAGACAATCCTTATGTAACTTAATCAAGTTTTCTCCGTCATTCAGTTTTGATCTTTCAACTATTAATTTTCTCTAACATTTTATGTCTTAACTAATCCATATTTGCTTTTTTATTTGTTACTATCTTGACAGTAAAACTATACAAGCATTCTCAGAGCAGGCATCAGAGTTGGATCAGATAGTAAGGAAGATGGTTCTGGAAAGTTTGGGAGTTGAGAAGTACTTGGATGAGCACATGAAGTCAACCAATTATCTTCTGAGGGTTATGAAATACTCTGCCCCTCAAACTGGAGACACCAAGCTGGGCATAGCCTCTCACACAGACAAGAACATAGTGACCATACTGTACCAGAATGAAGTTGAGGGTTTACAAGTTGAAACCAAAGATGGAAAATGGATCACTTACCAACCCTCCTCGCCTCATAGTTTCGTGGTTATGATCGGCGACTCTTTCCATGTAAGTCCATTAATGTATACGGCATATATGACAAGCAAAGACAAATTATTAAGTTATCCAAGTATATATAGAGATAGACTAATATTAGTAGTCATATATACGATAGAATTGAGCTTAATAAATAATATATAATAAAGTAAAAGGATTCATAGATTCAAGACTTGATATTTTGAGTTAAGATGTAGCGTCAACCCATTGCTTTTCGCCCATTTGTTATTTTTGTCCATTTTTGAGCAGTCACTCCCCATTTCTCACACTGAATAATTGGTAAGAAATCTCACTGGTTTAATTTTTCATATTAAAGCTTGAGAAATATATTGCAGGCATGGACAAATGGGAGGTTATATTCAGCATTTCACAGGGTGATGATGACGGGAAATAAGGCGAGATACTCAGCAGGACTGTTTTCGATACCAAAAGGAGGGTATATGGTTAAAGCACCAGAGGAGCTGGTGGATGATGAACACCCTCTTCCGTTTAAGCCCTTTGATCACGTTCAGTTTCTGAGCTATTACTACACTGAAGAGGCCCAGAGACAGAAATTTGCTTTGAAGACTTACTGTGGCGCTTGAGGAAACTGCGATGTTATTGAGTCTATTTTATAAATTATAACGTTGTGTTGTTGTATCATATGCACTATTCTGTACGTTTAGTGTGCTACAGTATTATTCCCGAATATCCCACGTCATGTATCTTTATTTTTTAGTCAAAATAGTTTATATTAGATTTGGACTTCATAACCTAAACTGTGTTCTTATAACTTATGAGAATAAAATATCATGAAGTGTTGGTACTGTAGATTTGAGTTTATACCATCACATAAGCTCTAATATAGCAATTATAATATATAGAATTTTGTCTAGTTTATATAAGATAAATAATTTAATTATATTTTTTATTATAGCACAAATGAATTTTCTTAATAGTTTATTATATTATTAGTAGCAAGTCCATAGCATCTCCAGGAAGTAACACAAATTTTGATTATGTATACTTCTATGAATGTATGTTTCTCTGCATGTATAAAGTGATTATATTACCATACTATATGAACATCATGCTTCTTAGTTATGATAAGATAGTTATTAAATATTTGAAAAACATTTTATCACACAGTTGCTTAAAATAAGAGGATTCAGGTAATTCATAATTTTTCTGAACAATTACATTGCATTGAACGCAAAATTAACACATTCAGAAGAGTAATTTTAAGGAAGAAATCTTTCTATGGTTAATTTTCATTTTATTCAAAATAAATATTAAAGAAAAGAAAACTTCATATAATTTATCAACATTCAAATTCTGGCCCAAAAAATTCAAAATCAATTTAATTATTAAGTAATCATGATTTATTTCAACTAAATATTGATTAACTTAATTAGGTTATTGGGAAGGATAATACATTAGTCTTTTATCCAGATTCCATTAAATATTGATCAACCAGAGTCCCCCTTTCATTAATGTTCTGTGCCGATAGAGCGAGGATTTCCTTTTATAGATTTACAGTTCGTACCTAGTATTGTTTTGTTTGGTTAGTGTTGAGATTTTGACTCCAAACTTTACATTCTTTGTTATTATTTGTATATACTATCTTGCTTAAAATCTATCTATATTGGGGGAAACTTATATAGTTAGCTTATAATTATTAGCCAAGTAATATTTTTAACTGATTAAAAACTCTATATATATCTAGTATTCCCATCATTATAGGTGAGACAATCATTAGTCGTCCAATTTCTTACTTGTTGCCCATTGGTTTTTTTTTTGGTCCCTAACTTCTCTATAATTTTTAATTTGTTATCCTTTTAAATTTCACTTATCATTTACCCACTTCCCAATGAGTGATATCAAAGCCTAGTTGACAATTGGAAATTTTCTATGATATCTACTAACTACTATTACAAAGTTTGATATTGAAAAATTTAGTGGCAGAATTGGTTTTACAATTTGAAAAATTCATATGAAAGCCGTTCTTATTCAAAATGAGTTGAAGTAAACTTTATTTGAGAAGGATTAAAAACCAATTACTATGTCTAATGAGCAATTTAAAGACTTAAATGAAATGTCTCTTTCAGCTATTCAATTATCTTTATCCAATGAGGTTCAATGAGTAGTAGTTAATGAGACCCTCGTTACATTATGACAAAAAGTCTAACAAACAAGCTTCTTCTCAAAGAATGGCTATATACTATTTATATGGTTGCAAGTATTCCAATTCAATCTAATATTGATAAATTTAATTTCATTATTATGAATTTAGAAAATATTAATATCAAAATTAAATCATTTACATGAGTTTCCTCCCCATCCACACGAATGCTTCACCTTCCTTGGTTAATATTTTAGTCTTTTAGTTTTATATATATATATATATATATATTATTAATGTTAAATCTTAACAAGTATTGGTCCGTCCTTTAATTTCAATAAAGAGAATGAGTATTTTTACGGGCTCGAACACATATCACTAATCTGACAGACAAATTAAAAAGAAGGAAAATTCAGAGTTCGACTTTAAGCTAGGATACAATATTTAGTTCATAAAAATGTTAGAACATCTAAGTGTAAGTAAATTTGAATTGATGTGAAAAGTCTCGCATTGAATAATGTTAAGCTTAATAAATAAGATATAATAAAATAAAAGGACTTATCAAATTAAGATTTGAGGTTTTGAATTAATATCATTATTATTTTTATTAGTATTCATTTTCAGACTCGTTTGGTAGTATAATAACTATATATTATTCATTAATTTCTCGTCGCAACATAATTTTCACAACTGCCTTGACTCAGAGTTGGTTTGTTAATATATGTAAAAAACAAACATATCAATTTCAAGAGAAAGATAATTGTATTTAGTGGCCTTCAATAATGCAGTGACATTGGTGCTTTAAAAGATAAAAATTGTTAACAATATCAATTCTTAGTGGTCCAACATGAACTTATACATGAATATATATCAGAGATGTGACAAAATACGGCTGGATTTTATATATATATATATATATATATATTCAATGTCACAATTATACATTAAACTTAGCCTACGTACAAGATTCAAATTGATCATTTGATGGACCACTTTCATAATTCAAGTGTTGCCATATTTTAAGCAAACATATTGGCATGCACCATACTATATAAGAATAAATATTTGATTCTCACCTAACCCACTAAAACTTTTTCTATATCAAATAAAAATTGATCTTCAGAATAATACTGTATCTCCATTAAACTAAAAGCCTATACTATTTAAATGGCATTGTACTAAGAACTCATCCGAACACAAAAATTCTCAAAACTAGCTTAAACTAGATCATATCCCTTCACTTCTAATAGAGGCCAAAGAAATAAAATGGTCTCAGAAACCACTCTCAAGCTTCCAATCATTGACTTCAATAGCCTTGACTTGGAATGCAAAAACCCTAAGTGGGACGAAGTGAAATCTCAAGTCATCAAAGCGCTTAAAGAGTACGGTTGCTTTGAGGCTTTGTTTGACAATGTTCCTTTAGACCTTCGAAAATCCTTATTTGTCGTGCTCAAAGACCTTTTTGATCTCCCTCATGAAACCAAGCTACGAAACGTGTATGAGATCCCTTATTATGGTTATATTGGAAAGGGGCCCAGAAGTCCACTGTACGAGAGCATTGGGATCGATGAACCAAATGTTCTTGAGAAAGTAGAGAGCGTGGAGAAAACCTTGTGGCCTGAAGGTTACCAAAGTTTCAGGTCTCACCCAATTATATTTCTCCTCATAATTAGTGTTTGTTATTGTTCAGCTTTTTAACCAAAACATTAGATATGCATGAGTTTTTGTTCAGTTATGATGAATCAAGTTCTTTGCTTTGATTTTTGCAGCAAAGCTGTGCAAGCCTTCTCAGAGAACCTATCAGAGCTGGAGAAGATTTTTAGGAAGATGGTTCTGGAAAGTTTAGGAGTCGATAAGTACTTGGAAGAGCACATGAACTCAAGCAGTTATCTTCTGAGGGTTATGAAATACACGGCTCCTCAAACTGAAGACGAAAAGATGGGTGTAAGTCCTCACACAGATGGGGGCATAGTGACAATACTGTATCAGAATGAAGTTCAGGGCTTAGAGGTTGAAACCAAAGATGGAAAATGGATCAAGCCCTCGCCTCATAGTTTTGTCGTTATGCTTGGCGACTGTCTCTACGTAAGTCTCATATTCTCTTTAATTTAATTCCCATAAAAAGCATGATAGATTTCAAATTAAAGTCTCTTGGAAAGAATGTCAATTAGGTTCTAACATATTGAATTGATGACAGTAAGTTCCCCATAAATTTTTTTAAAAAAATGAATTGAGAATATTGATTCAAACAATTATAAATTTAAGAGTTTGAATTACAGAAAAGGCATTTAAGTTTTATATGTAACTCTCATATTGTAATAGGAATTCCCATGAAATTGATATTTCCAAGTTATTTGTTTAGAAAATTCTATTAGGGAACTAACGGTCATTAATTCGATCTTTTAAAACCTAATGATCATTCTCCCAAGTCCACGTGCAATGTTAAATCATCCATAAGTTTATATATTTATGTATATATATATATATATAAGTATGAATCTGGTTAGGTGACAAAATAAAATGGGATGTTGGTTAATAAATGCAGGCTTGGACAAATGGAAGGCTGGAAGCTGCGTTTCACAGAGTGATGATGAGAGGAAAAGAGGAGAGATACTCAGCGGCATTGTTTTCAAAGCCAAAAAGAGGTTACTTAGTAAAAGCCCCTGAGGAGCTTGTGGATGAGGACCACCCTCTTCTGTTTAAGCCCTTTGAGTTCATCGAGTTTCTCGACTATTACCATACTGACGATGCCAGGAGACACAGAATCCCTCTCAAGGCTTATTGTGGTCTTTCATTATAATTTTATTGCTATTATCTATGCTTTCAGTCTACATTATTGTGGAATAAAATATTGTATATAGTAGTGCTATTGAAATAAATATAAGTAAGAGAATGCCATAATATAAATAATGACATCGATTAAAATTGAAGTTTAAATTTGAAATAAGATGCGGTGTCTTTCATTCCCTGTGGCTCATTTGTTTTCTTTTCCCAAGTGATTGCCCATTCCTAACAAATTATCACCCGAAATTAACTATTCCATGCCACAAGATCTTGAACAAAATTCTGCAAATTATATATGATTGTCATCCTCGTGAGAATTATGAATGTTGACATACTCTACACCTTAACTTGTTTGAGAAGGATCTGTTTTAGCCTGAGAGGCTTATGTACAGGTGAAATAGTCTTCAAAAAGAGCATCATTTAGCCTAATTGGAGTTGGGTAATTTGGCCATCTTAGAAGCCTAGCTTATTAGATGAGAAAGCTCTTTAAACTTATAAATCTCATTTTACTTGCAAGGCTTAATTTTCAATGTGAGATTCATGACAATACCACTGTTCGAGAGGTAATCTTTTTTATAACACCAAACTCTTAATGAAAATACTAATGTCATGAGCATAAGCTTAAAGAAAACCTATCTCAAAAAATTAGCCTGTTGAATAGGAGAATTTTTTAAACTCGTAGTCATAGACTCCACTTTACTAGTGAGGCTTCCCAATAAGGGACTCGTAACAGAGTAGCAAATAATTCACATGAGAATTGGACGATTAAATGTGTTCTAGTCAAGAGGAACATTATTCAAGAATTTACATATAAGTGATACCAAATTCAAAAGTTCATTTCACACACAGACACAATTTCTTCCCTTTAAAACTAGCTATGGTGATCTCTCTCTTTTTTAAAGAAAATCAATTATGGTGACACTATAAATATGAGTTTGGGCTCCTTAGAAAGCTTGAAAATCATAAATTGAGGTCCTATGGCATTTTTTTCTTTTTTTGCTTAAGATTTTGTTTGATAACATCCCTTTGGACCTACGAGAAGCCATTATTTCTTTAGCCGAAGATGCAGCATTGATGCTAGTTATGTTGACTCTCCACTTTAAATTATGATTTAAATCCTCAAAAATAACTACTCAGATGCACCACATAGATTCCTTGTAAACAATATATATATATATATATATATAATATTCCTATGTAGTGAAACAAAATATCTCTTCCTTTCTGGATGGAATTTCCCCCCGAAGTAATCTCATTTTAATTCCTTGGCCTTGCATGGTGGATTAATATTTTGAATCCAGCAGTAACCTTTCTAAAATAATGTTTTCATTTAGACAATTGAACCAACTGATACGTCTCAAGAATAACAAGATTTGCTGGAAAGTAGTAAATTAATTAGTTTTTCTTAAGAGCTAGGAGAGACTGTCCAAAAATGAGTGAGAGGGGAGTGATCATCCGAAAACAAAAAGGAGAACAAATGAGTAATAAATAATAGAAGAGCATCAAATTTTAATTCATCAAAATTTTAAAGCTCAAGTTTATGAGTCATTTAATTTTCATTTTATATTATTATTAAATTCAGGTTTATCTCATGTGAGAGTTCCCACATGGACTTATATCTACACACACTTAGACATCCAATTATCACGCTTGTCATTTCTAGAAGTTGTGACTTCTTGTAACCACCGTTAAAATGTTACATGCCCCACAAGTTTCAGTAATAGCCTAATGACAACCGAAAAATCAACATTTAGCGATGACTTTTGATTCTTTTTTAGCGCGTACTACTGTTGTTGCTGAAAATGATTTTCTCTTATAAAATAAATGTTTTGGATAATGTTGACATATTAGTTTGCAAAACAGAAACACATAACAGTATAAAGTGATGAAAAAAGTAAAACTGAACTCTTTTTTTCTTTGACAAATCGCATAATATAAAACCGTAAACAGTGTAATTTATTATTTTTTCAAACATTCTAGGAATTTTATCTGGATATCGTCAAGAGGAAATAAGATGCATCAAATGGCACCGACAGTCAGTCATTCTCCCCAAAGATAGCTTACATTTACGTGGAGTGAAAGAAATTACCTTTTCCAAATGAATAATAAATTTATAATATTAACACTCCCCCCGGTACTTATTATATACACAATATTTTTAACTATTTCACAGATGTTAAAAAAATTAATTTTTTGTATCATAAAAGAATGAAATGTACTTTTATAAAACTCTTAGTTTTAAATAATAATATAATTATATTAAACACTTTCACACTAATTAAAAAAATAAAATTAAAAAAAGTAATTTAATTATTATAAAATGTATTACATTTTATATTAAAATTTATTTTTATAAGGTGTCTTGTAAATATGACTAGAGGGAATACATAATAAATGGAGAACAATTCCTCCATTGAAAGATATCATCAAAATGAGTGATGAATATGGAGATTATAAAAGGGAATTAAAAAAGCAACATAAATATTGAAATGATTAGTTTAATTAATAATAGTGAATTTCCCTAATATTGGGAATTGGCGGAAAATGGATATGAAATAGTGAAGGTGAAGAATGGTCGGTTCCATTATTGGCAAAAATTAAGCAGTTTGCATGCGAAGAGATATCGGGAGAATAATTAATTATAACTAGTTTTTGGGCTTTTGACCTTCTTTTGCGGTAGGTTGTAGGGTTGATTGATACCCCTGATAATGTTGGTCCACACAAAGTGTTTCAGCTTTTGCTTTATTTGCATGCGGCAATAAGTTATCTTTGCCCCTCTCCATACCCTACAAACCTACCCTATTGGCCACCCCCCTCTTTATGGTATGGAATTAGATTTACTCCTTTACAAAGGATGATGCACTGCAAATCTGCATCATCATTAAATTATATGTAATAATTTTTAAAAATACATGTTTAATTTGAGCAATTCAAATTTGTAATTAAGGGAAAAACGCATGCAGTGGAGAAAAGCTGACCTCTTATGCTACTGGCATATACTATAGCATACCATGCAGCCCTCTCTATTTCAAATTAAACCAACAATATATGGAGATGCATTTGTACCTTTGCTTTCCTTCTTCAATATTTAGGCCATCTTTAGTTTGGATTTGGAGAAGATATTTAATGAAACCTTATAATTTATAATATATTTGGTAGAATGTGAGATGAATAGGAATAAATGATTGCTTTTATTTAGATGTTTGATAGAATAGAAACAATGGGGCTACATTTGGTATCAAGAAGTCCTAAAGTTGGGAATGGAATTAAAATAGGAACCATCATCAAGTGTATTTTGGTACACACCAATGACAACTCCCAAGAATCTTGATTCAAGAATTGGGGGGGGGGGGGAAGGCAAAATTTAATTCTATGAATACCTATAAAATTGGCTAGATTCCAAAGAATTAATTTCTATCTCCATTTCTGTCTTCTTCATCATCTCCTCCATCCTTACCCACTGTACCCTTGCCCACCATCATCTAGTCTCCCTTCCATCACAATGTTAAGAAACAACCACCACCCATTGCTAGTGATGACACACATTCTAGATTGGTCAACGACCACATCCCATATGAATCATCGAGGAGTTATTGTAGCTTCTCCATCACCCTCTAATGAAGATACAATGATATCCCCCAACCAACAACATCGATGATTTCTTCCCACTAATCAATGATGACTTCTCCCCCCTTCAACGTTGACCTTATTGTTGCTTCCTCTTCTTCCCAGTCTTCCTCTTGCTGTCACAGTCTCGACCGTCACCCTCTTCCTTCTACCTTCACGATCTCAACCACCATAAAATACGGATATTCAATGTCACAATTCCTTCACACTTTGCACATTCACCTCCGCATTGTGCTTCTCCTCCACCTCTTCGTTCTCCTTTTGTTCTCCAATGGTTGATTTCGCTTCTTCATTCTTCTTTGTTATCCTCACAACTCCTCCATACTTTGCACCAACACCGTCTTTCTTTTCTTGACTGGAAATGGTTGTGGGTTTTAGTATGTGAAATTAGCTAATTTAAATGTTCGTGATTTCTGAAAGTTATGAAGGTGATGATTGATGATGGTATAGTGGTCATCATTTGTTGTCTTATGTATTGTGGCGAAGGAGAGGGATGGACACAGAGGAGGGCATTTATTTTTTTTGAAAGGGCCAGGGCATTTTGATATATTTATTAAAATTATATCAAGATTTTATTTTCATATCAAACATATTTTTAACTGACATTGAATAAGAGTAATATAAAACAAATTGAGAGAGAGCATTAAAATATTGATAATAGTTATTATTTAAAAAAATTTTGATAGAATGGATCAAACCTTGACCGTGGGGATAATGGTTGTTTGAACCCAATTTGCGATGGAGTTCTTAATATGGGTTCAACCTTGCTAGGGGGTCATTCTATTTAGGCTCTCAAAAAATAAGTGTCGACCATGAAGAGCAAATTTAATCTTGAGAAAAGTACAGGCCCTCTCGATCCCTTAGTTATCCACCAAAAAAGGTTTGAGAGAACTGGGCCCACTTGGTCCTCATAAAAAGGGCTTACCCTTAGTTTTGTTTTATTTTAACTTTGTTAAGACATAACTCTAACCTTTGTTTAGAATGGGAAAAAATACAGAAAATAGAAACCTATAAGAGAAAAGTAGAAATAAAAGATATTTTTTCTATCTAGCATAAATTTTTTTAGGTTTCCCCCTCTCTAAAAAAGGGGATAAAAATGTCACTTTCCTCTAGTTTTGTCTCCTGATTTTCTCTCTTTTCTAATTTCTTAACCGAGCTAAGTAGCTAGAAGTGGTCACAAGCTTGCAGCCTCCAATGATTCCTCCTCTCTATTTTCTCATCTATCTCTCAGTATAGCAGTCATCCCCCACATCAATAGTTTAATAGGGACTGTCTTTGAATGTAGTAGGCACTTGTATTTGTTATACTATTTGAAGTCCGAAATAGGATTGGCTCTTTGATTGTAGGAATATAAACTTGGTTGCAACATTTTTAATATAAAGAGTTTGTGGACTCATATTGAAAAGAAATATTGTTAAGTTATTTAAGTATTGGTGGTTTTTAGTTGATATAAAAATCTCATATTAGATAAATTTAAATTTAATAACTAATATAAAATAAAAAAATGGCTCATAATTAACTCAAAATTTAAGATTTTGAATTAAAATATAGTAAA